CTGATGTCAGGTCTGTCAGAATGAGCCCACTGTAATGGTATCATCAGCCTTTCCTATGACTGAGATGGAACGTCACAACACTGGCAACATGAAGTGTAGAACAGCAGGAAACTAATGGGTATTCATCTGCTATTCTGCCACGGTTCGCAGTCAAACAGCTCTACATATTTCCACAGGCCACATTATAACAGATTTGCATAATACATTTTTTGTACATTCACACCTTTTCTTTTATTAAATAAAAAAGCAAACAAGTTTTACAAAGCACACTTATCTGATTAGTGACACTAACAGGACAATACTGCCACCTGCTGGATTACATATGGACTGCATAAGCGTATGATGTGTTTTCTATTCTATTCCATTCTCGTTTTTTCCTACCTTTTTCTATTCTGTTTCTATTCGTTTTCTTCTCTATTCTTTCTTATTCTGTTCGCTCTTCTATTCTTTGTTGTTGTTTTTACCATGCATGTATTTGCTATATTTTTATTGTGATATTTGATGCTTATTTTTAGTTGCTGTTTTCTATTGCTTTCTATTCTATTCCTTTCCTTTTGTCTGTTTGTTGTATTCTAATCTTTGTTTTTTTTTACATTCTACTGTGGTATATTGCTTTCTATTCTATTCTATTCTATTCTATACCTTTCCTTTCCTTTGCTCTGTTTGTTGTATTCTAATCTTTGTTTTTTTTACATTCTAATGTGGTATATTGCTTTCTATTCTATTCTATTCTAATCTATTCTATTCCTTTCCTTTGCTCTGTTTGCTGTATTCTAATCTTTGTTTTTTACATTCTACTGTGGTATATTGCTTTATATTCTATTCTATTAATTTCCTTTCCTTTGCTCTGTTTGTTGTATTCTAATCTTTGTTTTTACATTCTACTGTGGTATATTGTTTTCTATTCTGTTCTATTCTATTCTATTCATTTCCTTTCCTTTGCTATGTTTGTTGTATTCTAATCTTTTTTTTTACATTCTACTGTGCTTTCTATTCTATTCTATTCTATTCTATTCTATTCCTTTCCCTTCCTTTCCTTTCCTTTCGTCTGTTTGTTGTGTTCTAATATTTGTTTTTTTAGATTCTAATGTGGTATATTGTTTTCTATTCTATTCTATTCTATTCTACTCCTTTCCTTTCCTCTCCTCTGTTTGTTGTATTCTAATCTTTGTTTTTACATTCTAATGTGGTATATTCTATTCTATTCTATTCTATTCCTTTCCTTTGCTCTGTTTGCTGTATTCTAATCTTTGTTTTTTACATTATACTGTGGTATATTGCTTTCTATTCTATTCTATTCTATTCCTTTCCTTTCCTTTGCTCTGTTTGTTGTATTCTAATCTTTGTTTTTTTACATTCTACTGTGCTTTCTATTCTATTCTATTCTATTCTATTCCTTTCCCTTCCTTTCCTTTCGTCTGTTTGTTGTATTCTAATCTTTGTTTTTACATTCTACTGTGGTATATTCTATTCTATTCTATTCTATTCTATTCCTTTCCTTTCCTTTGCACTGTTTGCTGTATTCTAATCTGTGTTGTTTACATTATACTGTGGTATATTGCTTTCTATTCTATTCTATTCTATTCTATTCTATTCCTTTCCTTTCCTTTGCTCTGTTTGTTGTGTTCTAATATTTGTTTTTTTAGATTCTAATGTGGTATATTGTTTTCTATTCTATTCTATTCTACTCCTTTCCTTTCCTCTCCTCTGTTTGTTGTATTCTAATCTTTGTTTTTACATTCTAATGTGGTATATTCTATTCTATTCTATTCTATTCTATTCTATTCTATTCCTTTCCTTTGCTCTGTTTGCTGTATTCTAATCTTTGTTTTTTACATTATACTGTGGTATATTGCTTTCTATTCTATTCTATTCTATTCCTTTCCTTTCCTTTGCTCTGTTTGTTGTATTCTAATCTTTGTTTTTTTACATTCTACTGTGCTTTCTATTCTATTCTATTCTATTCTATTCTATTCCTTTCCCTTCCTTTCCTTTCGTCTGTTTGTTGTATTCTAATCTTTGTTTTTACATTCTACTGTGGTATATTCTATTCTATTCTATTCTATTCTATTCCTTTCCTTTCCTTTGCACTGTTTGCTGTATTCTAATCTGTGTTGTTTACATTATACTGTGGTATATTGCTTTCTATTCTATTCTATTCTATTCTATTCTATTCTATTCTATTCCTTTCCTTTCCTTTGCACTGTTTGCTGTATTCTAATCTGTGTTGTTTACATTCTACTGTGGTATATTGCTTTCTATTCTATTCTATTCTATTCTATTCCTTTCCTTTCCTTTGCTCTGTTTGTTGTATTCTAATCTTTGTTTTTTTTACATTCTAATTGTTACGATGGTGGTTGAAGCACGGAGGAAGCAGGATCCACATGCAGTACACTTTATTAAATAAACTGAAAACTTCACAAAGACTCAGAACAGGAACAGGGCATCCAACATTAACAGTAACAATACAAGAACTCACAAAGACTGGACTGAAACACAGGGCTTAAATACAAGGGCAAACGAGCTGAACAAGATAACAAGGGGGCGTGGTTAACCGGGGACACCTGGGAAGACTAATAGACATAGTGGGGAACTGCTAAAACAAGAAATGACAGGGGAACACAGACTGACATTACAACACTAATGTGGTATATTGCTTTCTATTCTATTCTATTCCTTTCCTTTCCTTTCCTTTGCTCTGTTTGTTGTATTCTAATCTTTGTTTTTTTACATTCTACTGTGCTTTCTATTCTATTCTATTCTATTCCTTTCCCTTCCTTTCCTTTCGTCTGTTTGTTGTATTCTAATCTTTGTTTTTACATTCTACTGTGGTATATTCTATTCTATTCTATTCTATTCCTTTCCTTTCCTTTGCACTGTTTGCTGTATTCTAATCTGTGTTGTTTACATTATACTGTGGTATATTGCTTTCTATTCTATTCTATTCTATTCTATTCCTTTCCTTTCCTTTGCTCTGTTTGTTGTGTTCTAATATTTGTTTTTTTAGATTCTAATGTGGTATATTGTTTTCTATTCTATTCTATTCTACTCCTTTCCTTTCCTCTCCTCTGTTTGTTGTATTCTAATCTTTGTTTTTACATTCTAATGTGGTATATTCTATTCTATTCTATTCTATTCTATTCCTTTCCTTTGCTCTGTTTGCTGTATTCTAATCTTTGTTTTTTACATTATACTGTGGTATATTGCTTTCTATTCTATTCTATTCTATTCCTTTCCTTTCCTTTGCTCTGTTTGTTGTATTCTAATCTTTGTTTTTTTACATTCTACTGTGCTTTCTATTCTATTCTATTCTATTCTATTCCTTTCCCTTCCTTTCCTTTCGTCTGTTTGTTGTATTCTAATCTTTGTTTTTACATTCTACTGTGGTATATTCTATTCTATTCTATTCTATTCTATTCTATTCCTTTCCTTTCCTTTGCACTGTTTGCTGTATTCTAATCTGTGTTGTTTACATTATACTGTGGTATATTGCTTTCTATTCTATTCTATTCTATTCTATTCTATTCTATTCTATTCTATTCCTTTCCTTTCCTTTGCACTGTTTGCTGTATTCTAATCTGTGTTGTTTACATTCTACTGTGGTATATTGCTTTCTATTCTATTCTATTCTATTCTATTCCTTTCCTTTCCTTTGCTCTGTTTGTTGTATTCTAATCTTTGTTTTTTTTACATTCTAATTGTTACGATGGTGGTTGAAGCACGGAGGAAGCAGGATCCACATGCAGTACACTTTATTAAATAAACTGAAAACTTCACAAAGACTCAGAACAGGAACAGGGCATCCAACATTAACAGTAACAATACAAGAACTCACAAAGACTGGACTGAAACACAGGGCTTAAATACAAGGGCAAACGAGCTGAACAAGATAACAAGGGGGCGTGGTTAACCGGGGACACCTGGGAAGACTAATAGACATAGTGGGGAACTGCTAAAACAAGAAATGACAGGGGAACACAGACTGACATTACAACACTAATGTGGTATATTGCTTTCTATTCTATTCTATTCCTTTCCTTTCCTTTCCTTTGCTCTGTTTGTTGTATTCTAATCTTTGTTTTTTTACATTCTACTGTGCTTTCTATTCTATTCTATTCTATTCCTTTCCCTTCCTTTCCTTTCGTCTGTTTGTTGTATTCTAATCTTTGTTTTTACATTCTACTGTGGTATATTCTATTCTATTCTATTCTATTCTATTCTATTCTATTCTATTCTATTCCTTTCCTTTCCTTTCCTTTGCACTGTTTGCTGTATTCTAATCTTTGTTGTTTACATTCTACTGTGGTATATTCTATTCTATTCTATTCTATTACTTTCCTTTCCTTTGCTCTGTTTGTTGTATTCTAATCTTTGTTTTTTTTTACATTCTACTTTGGTATATTGCATTCTATTTTATTCTATTATATTCCTTTCCCTTCCTTTCCTTTCATCTGTTTGTTGTATTCTAATATTTGTTTTTTACAATCTAATGTGGTATATTGTTTTCTATTCTATTCCTTTCCTTTCCTCTCCTCTGTTTGTTGTATTCTAATCTTTGTTTTTACATTCTAATGTGGTATATTGCTTTCTATTCTATTCTATTCTATTCTATTCTATTTCTTTCCCTACCTTTCCTTTCGTCTGTTTGTTGTATTCTAATATTTGTTTTTTTACATTTTAATGTGGTATATTGTTTTCGATTATATTCTATTCCTTTCCTCTGTTTGTTGAATTCTAATCTTTGTTTTTGACATTCTACTGTGTCTATTGTTTTCTATTCTATTGTTTTCTATTCTATTTTAATTTTGATTTACTTTAATTTTCAAATATTATTTTATTTTATCTAATCTAATTTCCTCTGATTTCTATTGTATTCTTTTCTCTTTTTTGTTCTCTTTTCGAATGTGCTCTCTATTCTTTTATGTTCTATTAATTATTTTTCTTGTTCATTCTGTTCCGTTCACTTTTTTTTTTTTTCTATTTTATGTGATACTCCTCAGAGGTATTAGTGTGGAGAGCAAGCCAGAACTGCAGCGTGTGTTGGAGCAAAGGAAGAGAGAGCAGATGATAAAACAGAGAAAGCAGGAGGAGGAAGCCCGGAGGAAGATCTCTCCACTGGAACAGGAGCTTCTCAAGAGACAGCAGAAGCTAGAGGAGGTAGAGTCCATGCAATCATACATTATTTCATACGGCTCAATATCCTCTTCTTGTATATCAGAGATCTATAACCCTCTTTTATATGTATATCACGTTTAGCTGCAAAACACCAACCAAATATGCGCTAAATATCTGACAGATATATATATGTATGTGTGTGTGTGTGTGTGTTGTGCTTTAGCTGGAGAAGGAGCAAGCAAGTGTGGAGGACAGCAACTGCAGCGCCCCGGAGTTCATCAAAGTTAAGGAGAACCTGAGACGAACGTCCTTTACAAGTTCTGGAGAGAAGGAGGTCTAGGGACACAGACTGGATCCAGATGTGTGTGTTTGTGCAGTAACATAGAGACCTAAACACTGAGCTTCTCTACTGCCTGTCTCACACCAACAACACCTTCAGCACTCTGTGGAGCAGGAGATAAAGACAGGACCCAAAGAACCTCTGCTACATCTCCACTTCACGAAGAGCTTGATGCTCGAGAGGTTTAAAGAGACAAGACGAGAACGAGTGTGTCGTTTGTTCTGCTCTGGATTGGACACGATGGGTTAAAGAGTAACTGTCCAGGCTGCTTGTGTGTGCGTGCGTGTGTGTGTGTGTGTGTGTGCATGCATGGATGGACAGCTATGTTCTGGTTCTGTCACATTAGATAAAAAAGTGAAAACAAGGTACAAGGAGTAGTTTCAGAGTGAATAAACAGTCTATTTCTCTCTAACCGAAAGGCTGAACATTTATAAGGCGACAATTAGACGAACATATCAGTATTACTGCCAAATATTTGTTCATCGCCTAATTTTACACTTAACAATCAGCACTTGTCACTTTTAAATGAAAATATAACAACTACTATTGTTTTCAGCCTTCATCACTCTTGAATTTAAGCTGAGAAAAAAAAAAAGAACATAACCAGTAAACATTGATCATTACTACAACGATGGCTAAAATAATGATGCAGGATTACATGAAGCTAACACGACAGAGAGGTAAACCTGTGTGAATAGAGTTTGTGCTTTTTCCAGTGCCTTTGTATAAGAAATGCAACAGTATATGGGCGGCCTGACTGTCAATGTGGTTCAATGTATGTTGCGCAGAATTTAGTTCATAATCTTAATTATGAAATGTTCCTTAATATGTCTGCGTATATCAGAAAAAAGTGAAGTTTCTTTCAAATGATTTGCTGCTTCATTGTTTAAACAAACATTTACAAATGAAAAACATGAACACAAAGCACTAATGGCTGAAACATGTGCTATGTGTTCACTCTCAGACCATTTATTTTCTTATTTTTATTTAACATTTTTTTCTCTGTTTTAGATGATTTTAAAGTAAAATTGAAATAATATGTAATTTCTGCCTTTTCTGGCCCCTAAAGCCATTGGATAATACAACAATCAATGTGTTACTTGAGTACAATTCAGTGTTTATTTACTTATGTCAAAATCATAAGGAAATATACAAGTAGGCTATATTTTCTGTAGCTTTAGCCATGACCTTTTGATTGTTATAAACAGAGAACTTACACAACAAATAAAAGGTACACTTGCTTTGTATAAATAAAATATATAGTAATAATAAATGTACATTTTGATTTTGTGCCCCTTATTTCCTGACATTACAGTTTTTTTACAATCACTTTGTTACTATTTTCAGAACCTTGATGTCATTTTTCAAAACTCTAGACACAAAACTCAAAGCGGTTATCACTTCAGGCTGTCTAATGTTCAAAACATTGCATTGTGCATTCACATCTTTAAAGAAATCTTGCACTTGCACAATCATGGTCCAAAAAACAAATTTACTGTGAAGTACCATTGAAACATAACTATAGATCACCCACACACAAGCAACCGATAGTTTCACTGTGTCAGTGTTCGTACAATCATTAAATATTGTAGAACACAATAGGTGATCCAGGTTTCATTATGGTCTACATGTACAGTAAACACATCTCTGTAAAAGCACTGCAGTCGTAGAGAGAATACACACATAGTGGAATCACTGAACAAAGTGTGTAATATAGTGATGCAAAACACTACAGTGCAATCACAACACAGGTTTATTGGAATCAAATAAAATATTAGGCTACATCCATGGATATTGCAGTCTAATTGGTTCATGCTCCACGCTAATTGGTGACAATGAATCTCGTTATCTTGAAACTGTCATGATTTACTGTAAACATGGAAGATTGTGTGTCTGTTTCCATACAACTATGCATTACAGTAAGAGTAATGCAACAGTTACTTATCATTTTGAGCAGTTGTATGAGTTGATAGTTCGATCATTGTAAGGAAATGAATAGACACTCGTTTGAAATCTAATGTGTGAATTGCCTTTTTAAATAGTAGTACTGTGATGTTACAGTAAGTTGTGTCATATTGAACAGGGGATTTTTGTTGAATGAACAAATGATCTAAGTTTTATGTGGTACCCAAGCAATTGAAGGGTTAGAGTTTTGAAAAATGTGCATTTTGATCGTTGGTTGTGAGTTTTGTGTCATGAAAAATGACATCAAGGTACTGAAAATGGTAACAAAATGATTGGAAAAAACTGTAAATAATTCGTTGGTATTCTTTTATTCAAACAAACACCAACAACAACAACAAAAAAGATCAGCTTTTTGCAAAACACACACTTGCAAAGAAAACCATCTACATGCACCAACAAGTTAACAATAAGCTATCAAGTTCAACTCTGTTCTATTTAGATAATGCCAGCTCCGTGTCCGCAGGGCCAGGCATCCAGTGTGTGTGTGTGTGTGTGTGTGTGTGTGTGTGTGTGTGTGTGTGTGTGTGTGTGTGTGTGTGTGTGTGTGTGTGTGTGTGTGTGTGCGCGTGCGTGCGTGCGTGCGTGTGTGTGTGTGTGTGTGTGTGTGTGTGTGTGTGTGTGTGTGTGTGTGTGTGTGTGTGTGTGTGTGTGTGTGTGTGTGTGTGTGTGTGTGTGTGTGTGTGTGTGTGTGTGTGTGTGTGTGTGTGTGTGTGTTGTGAATTTGAACTAGCTGCTGTAAAAGTGAAGTGTCTTGATGCTACCGGAGGTCACAGGGCTCGGTTCAGGGTTATCATGCTCGGTTTCACTTTAATGGGTCTTCGGTGGAGTTCGGTTTTTTCCACTGATGGAAATTCTCCATCTTGCCCTCCATCCAGCTTCTCGATAGCTTCTTAATTAGAGGGACAGGTAACACTATATCCCGAATCACAAGACCCTTTGTCCACAAAAACACGCTATCCACCTCTAATCTGTTTAATCCCTAAGAATCTTCAGGATCCGATTTGTTGTGCTCTAGTAAACAAGGGCTAAATTGTTTGACGCGAGGCAGTTGTGAACCTGAACTGAACGATGGCACACCTAAACTACATGAACACAACAGCCTGAACATGAACTGTGTTTGAGGGAGCAAATGCAAACCAGGCCGACGAAACACAACGCATCTGCTATGATTCATTAATATGATTCATTTTCAGTTTAAACCAAATTAATAACTGATCTGAATCCACTATGTAAGCTACAAAAATGATCATCAATTGATAAGCACATTTAGCGATTACATGTAAAAAAGGAGTGACAGAAGCTATCACACTTTCAGAGAATCTCTCAGGTTTATTTTTGAAGGATAGTTTGTTCACACAAATCCTTAAAGTTACACTCAAAAGTTTGAGGTTTTTGAATCCTTTTGAAAGTCTCTTATGCTCACCAAATCTGCGTTTATTTGAGCAAGAACGCCGTAAATATCATTACAATTTCTAATAACTGTTTTCTATTTTAAAATGTAATTTATTCCTGTGATCAAAGCTGATTTTGCAGCATCATTACTCTTCAGTGTCACATGATCCTTCAGAAATCACTCTAATATGATGATTTGATGATCAAGAAACATTTATGATTATCAATGTTGACAACAGTGGGTTTTCTTGTAGAATTCTTTGATGAATTGAAAATTCAAAAGAACAGCATTTATTTGAAATATATATTTTTGTAACCATATAAATGTCTTTACTGTCACTTTTGGTCGATTTAATGCACACTTGCTGAATAAAATATTAATTTCTAAAAAGAAAATCTTACATTTTTGAAGAATATTCAGCAATTCAGCACAGCATTTAATATGATGATTGCAATAGATGTATTAATGAGTTGTTATATTAACGGTACGGAAGGACAAAAATACCATTTTAATTATCAGGAGAATAATCAGTGAACAAGATTTTTTCTGAATTTTTTATGCAATATAATCCCAATTTATAGTTTCTTCCCTCGTGGATTGTGAACAGTAAAAAACAGGCAAAATCCATGACATTATCGCCCAGGAAAAGGATAAAGTTTAATGAATGTCGTGTAGTCATGGAGTAATTTGTCACAAAGAATCCTTTTATTACAGACTTATCAGCATAATATACACAATACAACAATTATGAAACACAAAATGATCTATGAAACACCGAAAATGTAAAAGTTAGCATACACAAATATCACATTTTGACCAAAGGTTATAATAATTGGAACACAAAATTATAAAACACATATAACGACATACACCACAATTTAGTTCAAAAATTGCCTTAATATCACTCTGGTTTTATTGTATTCATATTTGCCATATTTGCCCAGTGGCTATTACAAAAATTGGACTATTTAAAAACAAGCATAGGCAGAGACATTTTAAGCCTATATTTAAGTAAATAATGATCTATACGTCATCGTAATATATGTGTCCCCCAAATCACCACATCTAAAATTGGCGTAAAGTAGCGTAACATTGAGTGACACGTCTGAGGAGAAGCTTCTTGTGTTGCTTGCCCTGTGTCCAGTGTTTACCTGATAGCATCTTAAGATGTGCAGTATTTGCCCAGTGTTGGCTAAACTGCGCTCTGGTTTATGTAAAGTCCATCTCGGTTTTGGGCCAGTGCCATGTGTCCGGGCTGAAGGTCGCCCCCCTCTGCTGTGGGACGGGCTGAGTCTCAGGTTAAAGCTGCAGGACTCTGAAGCCAGAGCTGAGATGAGACATGGAGCCACACGGACAGCTGATCCCAACGCTACTCGTCCTGATGCTGGTGACCTACATCTGTGAGACAGGTATGGGGAACTCTTCCTTTTTATGTGTTTCTTATTTTAATCAACTTTTTTTTGTTGTTGTTTATGAATTATCATTACCTGATGAAGAGCCACTTGCTCGAAACATCACCTGTGGTGAGAACATGACATAAATATTTTATTTATTTTTATTTTTGGAGCTATGGTGAGCCAACAGGGGTTTTTTTATCATTAATAATATATACACTACCAGTCAAAGGTTTTGGATCAGTAATAGGCCTATTTGTAATGTTTTTAAAAGAAGAATTGTCTGCTCACCAAGGCTGCATTTATTTGATTAAAAATACAACAACAAAAAATAATTATACATAATTAAATACAAAAAATGTATATTTTGTAATATATAAATGTCTTTACTGTAAGTTTTGATTAATTTAAT